TTCGGCCGCTAGATTATTATTTGCATCAAAATGGAAAAGTGAGACCTGTCCTGATATAAAAGATTGGCCGTTTAAACTTTATGAATTTATGGAAATGGATAAACTAACTAACTTATTAAAAGGGAGAAACTTAGACTTATTTGGTCAAATATGGGACCCCTTAATAAGGTATTTAAAGGAGAATAAAAATATAGTTATACAATTGGACTAGATTGATTTTGGGGGCTTTCATTGACTTATAAAAGATAAATTACAGACTGTAAAGTATATGATTGGATTTTATATTTATTAATAAAATGTTTGGATTTAACATTGTCAGAAATATAATAGGAAAAAATCACAAAACAAGGAAGTCATTTTAGTTTGTTGTAGTTGTTTTCATTGTTGATTGTTGTTGTTGTTTATCATGCTGTATGAAGTAGTATTTTTATGTTAGTCTGTTACAATGTAAGATATGTAAGTGATTTGTAAATTGTTTGTCTAAATTTGTTTATTGTTTATATTTTTATGTAGAGGATAATAATAAAGATTATTTAAAATAAATAAATAAATAAATAAATAAATAAATAAATAAATATGCAAGGTTGATATGCTATAACAGACTATGCTATGACAGACATTTTTATTTGCTTGAGGGAAAGCATATAAAAGGCAGGAAAATTGATTAATCACAGGGAATTCTCCTTGCTGAGTTTAACCTCTTCTATATATATTTTTTGTGTCCCAAATCAAGATACTACTTTTCTTCGCACCCTACACTTGGTTTTGTGTAGAAACATCTAGCTGTGAAAGTTATTTGTATGTACTGTATGCATGGCATCAATCTTCAGGTGTTTCAGCAGATGTGCATAAGCAAGGAGTGGTTTATGTATATCACAAAACATGCCATACCCACAAAAATATATATACATATATCTCTAGTTTTGAATACCTATAATGGATTCACCTTACCTTGAAAAAAGGCTATTTTTGTGCAAGCTCGAGTGGGACTTGGTTTCAGTCCATATCAGATCCAATGTGTTAAAAACACAGCTATTTGATTGATACTTGAAGCTAACTCAAAATTAAATCATCCTCTGAGGTACCACTGGCTGACTGATGCAGTACATTTTTCCTCAGTAAAGGTTTAGCATAAGGATCAGCTAGCAATCAGCATATGCCACTGTTTGACATAAGAAGCTGGCTTTATTTTGTGTGTTTATTCTCTTCTGAAACACTCATTGCAGAGGCTTTGGGAATGTATTATACATATCCTAGGGAGACTTCATGTCAGCAGATGTATTGTTTTAACAAGCTGCTTAGTCAGGACTGGCAGCATTTTACATGGGCTGCATTGCACAATGCTTCATGGTGTGGGAATGGCAGAATATGTGCCATCTTCCAGATCACCTGAAACAAAACTGCTTTCATTTCTCAGTTGATGATTATATTTAATCCTTCCACATGGGTTTGGGGGCAGGATTACAGTCCATCAAATCTTCCTATACTGAAAACACTAGGATGTTTTGGGGGTAGGTTCCCTTATTTTTCATTGAATTTTTGTGTAATATTTAGCCATTAAAAATCATTTTTTCTGGCCATTAGATGAACATGAGGTGCTTTCAAAAGTCATCATGTCTGCTATATTACAATTTTCTTCTCTCAGGTTTTTCACATGTGATTCTTGACAACCTCAGATAAAATGGCTGTGACACAGCCATTCACCCTTTTACATCAAAGTACCTGCAAATGGAGTAAAATGATATCTATGGTTTCCATATGCTGACTTCTTGGTGTTTTCTCAGTGGCAACATATTAGAGCAAAATTGGGTTTG